TGATTGGTTTCCCAGTCAGTGCCCTGATGTGTGCTGTGGTGGGCAGCAGTCCTCCAATGAGAACACAGGGTGCATGAAGCCACCATGCAAAGGTGCCCACTTTGGACACCTGCTGTAAACTGACCAGATTATTTTTTTTTTTCCCCAAGGTGATGGAATGTGAATGGATGCTTGGTGTTAGATTAGCTCTTTGTGAGAAAAATTTTAAAAGTTTTGTTTGTCTTTAAATCTGAGTCTTTTGTTTGCTGTACATGACCATTGTACTATAGAAATACGAAGTAACAGCTTGCAGTGATGAGGACAGCAATTTCTCTCTCTGAAAAATGTGCCAGTAGAGTTTAGGTTAAATTAATTCACTTCTTAAATATTCTGTGTATTGATGGATACACAGAACTAAAGTAATTCTTAGTGAAGCTGATCATCGTGTTGACTAAGTAAATAAAATTACACTGGTAAAGAGAGGAATTATCAGATGGTGAGGTGTGCTGTGATTAATATTTCATTTTGTTTACATGATTCCCATGTAATTTATGAATGCCTAGGTGCTGCACTAGAACACTTCAAATAGCAGCTGCTGGAATTGTGTTTTATTCTTTTAATTGGTATTGGTAGTATCAGAGGTCATGTAGGCTGAATAAAAAGTCACTATGCTCACTACCATAAAATTACCTAGAAAAAAATGGAATTAGTTATCCTTGGTTTTGGGAAGGTCTCAGCTGTGTGATGAATTCTCCCCCCTGCCTCATCCTCCTCTACCAAAATGCTGCTGGTTTCTTGTGCTGAATCAGTGCTGTTGGATGTGCTGGAACTGCACAATGCCCATTCTGTAAGAACTGGAACACAGCCAACCTGGCTGTGCCAACTTCTACCAGTTCCCTGAGTGGTCAGTATGACTTTGGGGTCTCCAACCACCGGGGACCAGCAAAAAGACCCCAAAAGGACAGGAAAATGCATGCATAAAGCGTAGAAGAAATATGTTAATAATTTCGGGGAAAATATTACCGTAGGTATGTTTTAAATTTAGATATATATATGTGTATATACTGATCTGGAACTAACTTTAGTACCTTTTCAAACTCCCTATAAATAATTATCACCATGCCAAGCAAAATAGCTATTCTAATTTGTGCCTCTCTACCGTAAAAACTATGTTAGGGACAATCTCCAGATAAGAAAATAAACCTAGGGGCCAGAAAGGTATTAAAACCAAAAAAGTCTGGGGACCAGAGATACATGAAGAGTTCCACCCAGAGAGACGTTATCAATTTAAGCAATATGGCTACTGACTGCTTTATTCCAATACAGAATAAGTACAACCAAAATGCAAGCAATACAAGGTTTTTCCACTCAAGCCCCACGTTGGGCGCCAAAAAATGTATTTGTCCTGGTTTAGCGCAAATATGGGAGGAAGCTGCAAAAAGGTCCCTCCAGAAAGCAAACCCTCCCTGTTCAGGTAAAGATTTCTTAGGGGAAAAGTGGAAAAAATGGTTTATTTAACAAGCAAAGTATTCACAAGCATAAAAAATGAGTAGTATTAAACAGTAAAACCTCTCAATGTTCTGAAGAGATGGCAAATTCAGAAAGTCCTTGTCATGAGGGGTAGCTCAGCTTGCTCAATCTCTTATCAGTTCCTCCTGTGCTGGAAAGTGCCCTGGTGGGCCACAGGTGTGAGCTCCCAGTGTTCTTCTGGGTTTTCAGTCCACAGCAGGTTTGAACAGTTCCAGGAAAAAGAAAAGCCACTATTGGTGATAAAGAGAGAGATGGGGACTCAGTTTGATGGTCAAAGAGTCCAAGTTTATTGTGGGATACAAATGCTTATAAAGTATTTTAGAAAAATGTGCTCTTAGAAGCTGCTGAAACTTCATTCTCATGTATCAGTCTTGTATAAACAATTCTGCCAACAGAAGCATAAACAAATCTTGATTATTACTTATGTTTTAAATAAGTTGAAAATCTTCTGAATGACCTACAGAAAGAAGGGGTGCTGAAATTTAGTAATTAATTTTAGCACCTTACTTGAGACTACTCAGCTTTGAGTTAATCCTACAATTGAAAAATATGCAAATGGGAATGTTACATTTTGGTTATTGATGCTGTAATCTTCAAGGTTGTGATTTTGGGACAGGGTGATGATTGTTTTGAGCTAGGCTATCATAGTTATAAGGGAAGGTTGTTCTCATACCTGTGGCATAATTACACTTTGCAATTTGTTTGTTAATGCCAGTGTTTGTTGCTGTGTTTATTTAGACATGCTACAAAAGAAAAATCAGTGTAAATTCAGCTAATGAATTAAAATGCATTTTTCTGGGCACAGATAGTTTGTGGCCTGATCATGATACAACATTTTATCTTCTGTTTAGCTCCAGCTTTGGATGAAACAGGAGGAAGCATGAAAGAAGAGCATGCACTTTCTCCTGTTAATTTACTTATTTGTTTAGTTGCATGTGTGCGGTGGGCTATGTTCAATGGGATTTTGAATTTATTTTTTTCTTTGCTTGCATAAGAGGGGTTTTAATTTTTTTTCACTGTTGTATGTATCTGTAAAGGTTTTTTCCTTTCATTTTACAGGAAGAAAATGGCTGAAATTCTTGGATCAACATCCATCCATGATGAGGAATCCTTGGAAACTAGAATGGTGGTTACATTCCTCATGTCAGGACTTGAGTCAATGGTTAGTAGAGAAGTTAAGTTTTGGCATCATAAATGTGTCTTGCTATTTGCAGGATTACATCAGTATATTGCTTCCCACTTGGCAGCAGGGGAGGTGGATTGTTGTATTTGTAATGTGTGTTGTCCAGCCAGCTGTAATTGTATCTTTGGTTGTGATAATCATGTTGTCAGTAATCTTGTTTCTTGTTGTGGGGTGGTCGTTTTAAAAATTATTTTGTCGAATAAATGTCAAATATTTGTTGATAGCTTTGGTACAGTGTGGTTGAAAGGCAAGAGTATGTTCTGGTCTTTGTCATGTGTAGTGTAGAGTGAATAAATGGTTTTGAGGCTAATGCCTTGTCTTCAGCTGCTGTAGAAAGTCTACAAAACTTGTTCAGGAAATACTTCTTTTTATTGGCATATCATCTGTTTTTTAGAAGTTATTATATTGTGTGATGGGGTTTATGGTTGGCTAGGGCTGTGAGTGGAAATGCCTGTCCCACTTCCTTGAAATTGAGGCAGTGTCCAAGATTTGTTTATTTAAAATTGGGGGTTTTCAATGATAAGCAAGAGTTTTCTTATTGGCAATGAAGCTTTGAGAGGAATGATTATGAGACAATATATTGCAAGTCTTTTATCCCATTGCCTCTTAAAGTCTTTTTGTTACTTTCTCCTCCCATGCTGAACTGTTGGTGTTTTTATAGATGGTAACAAACTCTGATTTAGTTCCTAGGAGAGACTGACCTTCTGTGATTGCTACTTGGTAATCTCACCCGTTTTTTTGGGATCCATGTTCTCTCCAGAGGCTTCCTGCCTTAATTCTTGCCAGAAATTTCTCCTGGCAGAACATATGTAGGTGTTTGCAGGGGTGGTGCAATCCTTCCATTCAGGGGGCATTCACCTGGGGCTGGGCTCAGCAGACAGGGCAGGGCAGGCCACAGGGAGCCATCCTGCTTGCAACCACACCTTTCTGAGCAGAAGATGGTGTGTGAGAAGTGTGCTGTGAATATACAAAACCTCTGTGTGCTTTGTTGAAGATGGAGTAAGACACTCAGTATGATTAATGTGGAAGTGGTAATTGAACATGGATTAATGTCATAAATAATTTCAATTAAAAACGATGCAATCTCTGAGTCTATACAAGGTCTTAATTTGCTAATGAATCTACAATGCTTTTAAGATTTCTGATGAAAAGCATTCCAGATGTGTAAATTGTGCTTTGCTACTGGCTGATGTTATGTTGCTCACAGTATCTTCTGAAGGGTGGATGCTGGCAGCAGTGCAATAATTGTTTTGCATGATATCACATACATTTTTATTAACTGTATCTTAACTATGATAATACAAGCTTTTTTTCTTTCTTTTTATAGTGTAAAGAACTTTCCAAATCCAAGGCAGAAATTGCCTGTATTGGTGTATTTGCAAGAAATGTTTTTGTTGTTGGAACTGAGAGAGGAAAAGCCTTTGTCAACTCTAGGGAAGATTTTAAGATGGATTTTATGGAATACTGTAAGTTTCAATGTTTTATTTTTTGTATGTCACAATCTGCATAATGTATATTGCAAAATAATAATTTTGGCAGCAAAATTGTCTGTCATAGCTGCATGCTATAATTATGTTGGCTAATGCAAATCAAGCTGTAAAGTGAGCATTAACAGTGATCTTGTTTATAGTGTTATTTCTACAATGGCTGGAAATGTTCATGTTTTCTTAGATAATACGAAAACCAGTACAATAAGAAATATTAGATGGTCCACCCTTACAATACATCCTGTATTTCCTAGTGTGTGTGTTAATTTTGCCTTGTATCCTCTTCTCCAAACATTTTTTCCACTCAGGAAGACTGAGGAGGGCAGTGAACAGGTAGAGAAATACTTCTGTCAACTCAAGTGGTCCTGGTTCTTGAGATCACTTCATGCCTTACTAAAGCAGATGCACAGTTTTGATAAGACAGTATCTTTTCATGTAGCTATTTTATATCCCTTTTATTTAGTAGACAGAAGTACTCATCTGTAACATTATGACTTGAAATTACATCTGCATTACTTTTCTACTGCTTTAAGTACATATAGGGTGTGGTTTTTGTTTAATTTCATTTTTACAGTAAAACTGTGCAACTTTTGTGTTCAAAGAACTTGATTCATTGATTCATTCATACAGGACAGTATTTTTACTGGATAGGTTTCAAAGGTTCAGTGATGATTTAGAGGAGCATTGATGCACTCATTTGGGAAGGTGTTGGTGGTGGATACTGCCTAATAAATAACAAAACTACTTGCCTAGAGAAAGAGAGAAGATGGAGGTCAGAGGTAGGGTATGATAGAAGAATCAGTCTGAGGAGGAGTTTAAAAAACTGTCAAGTTGTTGTTGTCAAGTTAAATACTGCTTGGAAAGCAACTGCATTTACTGTGTAACAGAAAGACTTATTCTCAAAAATGCTTTTGCTGCTACATGAAATTTTCTTGGAGGCTCTGTCTCAAGATCAGTTGTTTGTGGTAGGTGTCTTAGTTTGAAAAAGACAGGTGTCTGTTAAGGAAGGCAAGAGCCCTCCCTTGAAATGGAAAATGTAACCCCCTCTCTCTGAATTATTCTAATTTTGAAATTAAAGGGCTCTCAGGCGAAGATATGGGAATAGGAATAACAGTTCTTTACCAGGAAAATTAAAATACAAATGCAACAGTACAAACAAAAACACACCACAGCCAGAGTGAGAGCAGTCCCTGCCCCCTGTGTGTCAGGGCGGTGTCCCAGCCCCATCCATGGGGGCTCAGCCCTCCTGCAGTGCCAGCTGTGGCTCTGCTGCAGCAGGGATCCTGCACAAGGGGGAGTTTTCCTCTGCAGCTCCAGGGCTGCTGCAGATGGGCCTGGGCTCCCTCTGGCCATGCAGGGCAGCAGAAAGCTGCTCCTCTGGCAATGCAGGGGGCAAAGGCTGCTGTGCTGTGCCAGGCTCAGATTGGATCCAGGCAGGAATGCTTGGCTCCTCCCCTGGGCGGAGCATCTCCCCATGGGATGCTGGGATTGGATCAGCCCTGCAGGGACACTCAGTGGCCATGGACAGCAGAGATCTCCTGGAGGGAGGGTTGGCTGTGGGAGAGATAAAGAAAAAACTGCCCATGGACAGCAGAGAACTGCCCCAGCTCTGACAGATGGGGATAGAACACACCCCCAGTCACATCTTGCAGCCTAAGACAATTGGGCTCTGTTTTTTTCTTTTTGTCCTACTGGCATGAACAGTGACTTTCTGTGCATGTATTTACTCCAAGGAAAGTCAACACAATGTTGGGTTCCAACAGATAGCTGATATCAAAATGTAGAATTGTAACTTGATTGCAGAATCAAGTATAAGGTGAATCAATTTCTTTTTCTTTTTCCTTATTTTTTCATTTTTTACTGCGACAGTCTTCATATGCTGTTGTTTATGAAAACTGCTGTCTGAGTACTTGGGAGGGAGTTCAGCTTTTCACCTGATTGCTTTTTTTTTGTTTTGTTTTTGTTGCCTAACGTCCTAGGTATTATGTTTTATTGCCAGTACTGTGGTGTCATGGGCCCTGATATACCAGGGACTTTGTGTACTGGACACACCTATTAGTAGTGAATCAGAAATTATGGGGATTTGCTGTTTGATCTCCTGGCTAGATTTCTGTTTCAGATTTTGTACTGTGGGAAGCACTGGCTTCTCATCCATGCTTGTATTTGGCTGTATGAGATGTTTCTCTAAATGCATGCCTGTGTTTAAATCCTACATCAGTTTTGATAATCCTCACCTTTTGCTTTCCTTCAGTTACAAGATGCTCTTGGGCTGTGTTTTTGTGCTGTCAGGCTGATAGGACTAAAGAATATTAACTTTGAAAACAGTGTTTCCATTATGATTCTTGCAGAACATTGTGGTGTAGATCTGTGTGAACAAAGCCAATATTGTCAGTTGTGGCTTTCATGATTTCACTAAGTGCGCATCTCCCATGCTTTCAGGGGACTCTTGATGCTGGAAGTAGTTTTCTTTTGTCCCTGAGAGCAATGCTGATAATTCCAGAAAACATTACTTCAGAGCAACAATTTTTAGGAATAATAGCATTACATATTCCTGATGATGCTGATTCCATCACTGGCTTTGGCAGCTTTGAGGTCTTGATGAAGTTTGTAGTATATCATTTGCTCTAAAATGTAAAGCTGTGGAGGAACAGTTCCTTGTTGCATTGTTTCTTCAGTTGAGTATGAAAGCAAGGAATAGGCAGTGGTAGTTGAGATTTTAGTAGGTGTTTTATAAAAATCCAGGAAGGACACAGTTCTTTGTATATTCAACAAGTGAGACTTGAGTCCTTCTTTTTACTTTAGGACTTATAAAGGCTTCTAGGAGATTCTTACCTTGCTGTTAGAATTAAACCTTTAAAAGTTCATCTGTGATGTGAGTCAGTGGAACACATCTGTGCTGACAATAGTGAGAATTATTTCTCCACTTGTGAGTATTTTTATATTTCTTTAAATATGGAAACAGAAGTCTAGTTGCTAAGCACACCTCTGGTTATGTCTGACTCTCTGTAAGCCAGCACAGTCTTACTTCAGTCTTTATTTCTACATTTTTCACAGTTCCTTTGTGTAATTTGAGTAGTGTATGAAGCATTTTCAGAATTTGTAGGGCTCAGGCTTCAAACCCGCTGCTTTTTTAAAATGAATGAGTACAATTTAGTGGGCTAAACTGATGAAATGTGTTTATGAGGTTTCTGAAGGAAGTAGTGTGTCACAGACATCTTTTCATTAAAATCCTTTCGTTAGGATTTTTCTCCCCTTCTGAGAAGCTGTGGCCTCAGTAACAAAATGTAAACCATGGTTATCTGCTGCTGTGGAATGCAACAGGTGGATCCATGATTGGTCTCGGGTGGATGTTTGGATTTACTGACCGCTCAGGGCAGAGCTGGGTCTCGCTCTCTGCTGAGACACACACCTTTGTTATTCATTCCTTTTCTATTCTTAGCTTAGCTAGCCTTCTGAGAACTTTCTCTTCTATTTCTTTTCAGTATAGTCATAATGTAATATATATCATATTATTTTCAGGCCTTCTGAACATGAGGTCAACATTCCCGTCTCTCTCTTCATCCTGCAACCCTTGTGACCACGGTCACAGTAGTGTGTGCACTTTTTAGTGGTGTAGAACTGATAAAAATAATAGTGGTTCAGTGAAAGCAGCACTGGAGTTTGGTTTCTTGTGGCTTTCATTCATGATGACCCTGACCCACGTGGGTTCCCTAATGCCTTGCTGCAGGGCAAGGATTGTTGGAAAAAGAAATGAAATTTAGCAAAATGTTTTATTACAGTTTAGTTATGAGTTGAGTGTGTGAATTGGTTTGTTAAAAATAGTTTTGTAGCCGTTGATAGTATGTGTTGAGTTTGTGTGTAACTTAGCAGGTAGTCTTAGGAACTTAATAAACATTTAAACCAGGGT